TAGAAAATATTATGAATGACCTTTCTTTATTAGATTTAAACGAGAATTTGACCTTTAATAAGACACAATGGAGAAAAAGGATTCATGTAGCCAACCCCACGTAGTGGAATAAAGGCTTGATGTTGTTGTTGTTGTTGTTGTAGGAACCATGCTATTGTGAAGCATGTGTCACTGTTATACATAGGGAGAAAATATGTGAGTAAATTTTGCTCGAGGGATACAATTTATTTTTAAGGCAGTGTCAAAATTTGCGGACGTAAAAAGACCTAAAAAGATTGGCTTGATTCTTAATAGAACACAATAGAGAAAAATAATTCATGTAGCCAACCCACATAGTGGGATAAAAGGCTTGATGTTGTTGTTGTTGTCGTCGTAAAAAATTGCGCACCTCATTCCACTAAGCTTGTCCTTATCTTAATTTTATTTCAAGTTGTATTAAAGCTTATTCCATAGCTTAAATTAAATTTATAAATCAAAATATTTAAATTTATATTAATAATCTTAGAGCAAATTATAATAAATGTCAAATCAACTAATTTGCCCATTTTAATAAATTCATCTTCATGTATTTAATGCGCCAAGCCAATCTCATTTACAAAAGTTATTTGATTTCCACTGGCGGATTTCATTAGTATTGAAGGGGTGATAATCTCTCATATTATTTTCAATTATAAGGAAAAATTGTTATGTTGGGATGATGTCTTTAAGGTAACCTAGATCACACAATTGAACAACTTATCTTCCATGTGTGTCTGGTTACAGAAAGAGTTTTGTTACAACAACATCAAACCTTTTATCCCACTATGTGGGGTTGGATACATGAATCCCTTTTCACCATTGTCTCCTATTAAGAGTCAAATTCTCATTTAAATCTAATAACAAAATCATTTCTAATACTTTCCAACCAATTCTTTTTAGGTCCACCTCTATCTTTCTTAATATAGACCGGATTTAATATATCTACTCTCCTAATAAGGTCATCAGAAGGCCAACGTTTAATGTGACCAAACCATTTAAGATGACTCTTTCTAATCTTATCTGCCACTAAAGCTATTTAAACCTTTTCACGCATATACCTGTCCCGCATCCTGTCTCTAAGTGTAAAGCCACTCATCCGCCAAAGCATCCTCATTTCTACAACACTTAACTTTATGCTTCTCTTCAAATGGCCAACATTTTGTGCCATAAAGAATTGTTAGTCTAGCAAAAAAGAGTTTTGTTAGGAAAAAAATTTCATGTCTAATCAAACGCAACTTTAACACAACGTCAATCTTAATGTGACCTAGAAGAGCCATATGGAAGCCTAATTTGACTCAACTTAATTGAAACAACATTGAAACAAGCTTAAAAGGGTGCGAACAAACTTTTTATTAATTTCAAAGCATTGTGTCAAGTTCATATATATAGTTAGAACGCACAAGAGCTCAAAAGGCCTTGAACCTACAAACTAAGGCTGCAAACACAGCTTGAGGGATACATGCAAGTATGTGATAGGAAGTACTTGAGTTCGCAAGTAATCCTATCAGATCTACTTTAGTTCGCAAGCAACCCTAATGTGAAATTGATAAAAACAGCGAGAATACCCAAGATCGGAGATGAAACAACCAGGAAAATAATAGAGCTTTATTAAATACTCAAAGCAAAATAAGCTAGAAGAAAATATACAATTGATCCTCTATTCGAGAGGAGGATCGTCTCTCCCAAATCTCTAGACAAGAGTCTAGAGTCCAAGATGCCAAAGAGACTACAAAAGGACAATAACCAAAGCATGCCATAACACTTCCCCCTCATACCTATTAATAGCCTCATCCCTAGCCATAACCACCCCTCCCCTCTCCAAAAATAATATTTTTAATTAAATCAAAAAGGCGTGGACCACTTTCCTAAAATAATATTTTTAATTAAATCAAATAAGTGTGGGCCCCTAGGCTAGGCGGCAAACCAAGGGAGGCAGTTTGAACCGCCTCCTGTAGACTATTGCCGGCCCAGGTGGAGCCGGCTGGGTCGGTTCTGGATGAACCGACCTATCAATACCACCCTCCCAAAGAACCACCTTGTCCTCAAGGTGGAAGGAAGGAAACTGATGCTTCATCTGCTCATAAGGTTCTCAGGTTGCCTCATAATCTGGAAGATCCTTCCAATTGATTAACACCTCTTTTATCCCTCCCTCTTCCTGGCGCAACCCTTGTAACTCACAGGGTTCCAAAAGCACTACTAAGTATTCTGTTAAAGTGACTGGCAACTCCGATTCGGCTAGACAATCTCCAATAGCTCTTTTTATCTGAGATACATGGAATATTGGGTGTATAGTTGTTGTTGGTGGTAGATTCAGCAGATATGCTACCGCCCATTTTTCTTTCAATACTTCATAAGGTCCAAAGTACCTTGGAGCGAGCTTCTCATTCCTCCTGATGGCCACTGTCTTCTGTCCGTAGGATCAGAGTTTTAAGAAGACATTCTCCCTAACTTCAAACTGGACATCCTTCATATGTCCATCAGCTTATTTTTTTTATAATCTGTTAAGCTCTCAGTAGATGTTTCTTTAGTTCTTCTAACACTCTGTCTCTTTCCTCCAAGTATTCTTCTACTGAAGAAATAGGAGTGCTTCTACTCACAACGTGCACCAAGTGAGGAGGATCTCTTCCGTACAACACCTTGAAGGGGGTCATCTGAGAAGCAGAATGATAAGAGGTGTTGTACCAATATTCTGCCCATGACAGCCACTTGGCTCATAACTTAGGTTTCTCTAACACAAAGCACCTCAGATAGGTCTCCAAGCTCCTGTTAACCACTTCTGTTTGGTCATCTGTCTGTGGGTGGTAGGCAGTACTCCTCTTTAGAATTGTTCCTTATAATCTGAACAACTCCCTCCAGAAATGGTTGAGGAATATCTTGTATCTATCTAATACTATTGCCTCTGGTACTCCATATAATCTGACTATTTCCCTGATGAAAGTTGTTGCCACTATTGTTGTAGTGTAGGGGTTCCATAAAAGAATGAAGTGTGCGTACTTGTTGAGTCTATCCACCACTACCATAATGACTATGAATCATTCTTATTTTGGTAGACCACTTATAAAATCCATGGACACTTCCTCCCATACCCTATTTGGAAGTGCTAATGGTTGTAGCAATCCCCCCAAAACCATTGCCAGGTACTTGTTTCTCTGGCATACCTCACATCTGACCACCATGTCCTCCACATCCTTATGCATTCCCTTCCAATATAACTCAGCTACCAGTCTTCTGTATATCTTTTGTACTCCTGAATGGCCTCCAACTACACTTCCATGAAATTCTTGTAGTAGATTGGGAACGTGGAATCGTGGATAGAAGTTCTTTTCATCACAAATCTTCCTTGATGTAAGAGTCTCCTCTCCCCAAGTGAGTATCCTGGATGGCTACTGGGATCTTTTACCAAATCCTCCCTAATCCTCCTCAACCCTTCATCCTGCATACTTTCTTCCTTGATTACCTCCCAATCCACCATTAGTGGCACCGAGATTGCTATCCCCTGTAATTCCCTCACATGCCTTGATAAAGTGTTGACCGCTTTATTTTCCAATCCAGGCCTATACTGAATCTCAAAATCATAGCCAAGGAGTTTGGATAACCACCTCTGATGTTCCTCAATCACCATTCTTTGATGGAGCAGGTATTTTAAACTCCGCTGATCTGTTCTAACAATGAAGTGCCTACCAAATAGGTAGGGTCGTCATTTCTAAATGCCTAGTACAATCGCCATCAACTCTCTCTCATATATTGATTGCAGCTAAGCTCTAGTCGACAAGGTTTGGCTGAAATATGCTATAGGTCTGTGGTTCTGCATGAGTACCGCCCCCAACCCATATCCGGATGCATCGGTCTCTACTACAAAAATCTAGTTGAAATCTAGAAGAGCTAAAATTGGGACTATAGTCATAGTTTCTTTTAATTTCTCAAAGGCTTGTGTTGCCTCCTCTCCCCACAAGAAGTTGTCCTTCTTTAGTTGCTCGGTTACGAGTCTTGATATGGTATTGTATCCCCTTACGAACCTTCGATAGTAATCTGTCAGTCCTAG